TGCGTGCGTGCGTGCGTGCGTGCGTGCGTGCGTGCGTGTACGTACCGTCGTCGCTGCTCCGGCACAGCTTCTGCTCCGTTAGAAGGTTGTTGAGCGTGTGGGCGTGTGTGCGTGCGTGCGTGCGTGCGTGCGTGTACGTACCGTCGTCGCTGCCCGGAACAGCTTCTGCTCCGTTAGAAGGTTGTTGAGCGTGCGTGTGCGTGCGTGCGTGCGTGCGTGCGTGTACGTACCGTCGTCGCTGCTCCGGCACAGCTTCTGCTCCGTCAGAAGGTTGTTGAGCGCCGCGAACAGAGCCTCGTCCGTCGGTATAGAGATGCCCGGAAACTTGGCCGGAAGCTGCTTCTTTATCACCTGCGGCAGACGATATCACAGTCACAGACGGTGCGCACGCAGGCACGCACGCACGCACGCACGCGCGCGCGCACGCACACACGCACACACACGCACACGCACACGCACGCTAGGGCAGGGCACAGGACGAGGCGTGCGTACGTGTGTGTAGGACTTACAGAGGACTAGGCGTGCGTACGTGTGTGTAAGACTTACAGAGGACTAGGCGTGCGTACGTGTGTGTAAGACTTACAGAGGACTAGGCGTGCGTACGTGTGTGTAAGACTTACAGAGGACTAGGCGTGCGTACGTGTGTGTAAGACTTACAGAGGACTAGGCGTGCGTACGTGTGTGTAAGACTTACAGAGGACGTAAGACTTACAGAGGACTAGGCGTACGTACGTGTGTGTAAGACTTACAGAGGACGGAAGACTTACAGAGGACTAGGCGTGCGTACGTGTGTGTAAGACTTACAGAGGACGTAAGACTTACAGAGGAGGTTGCCTTTCCTCCGTATCTATTCAGTTCGGCGACGATGATGCAGATGGCCTCCGCCAGGGGGACAAACTGCGTCTGCGGCACCAGCTGCATGTCGATGCCAGCGACCTCTCCTGGACAACAGTGAAAAACAAAGTGACGTCGTCATTATCGGTGTTCACGTCATTCAACGTGACGTTATCATCATGTGTCGTGACGTCGTGTTGACATTGCTGATGTCATCACGTCGTCACAACCAAAGAGAGGGAGGGAGACGAGGATAGAAGACGACGGAGGAAGAATACAAATAAACCTATAAGCAGGGAGGGACCGAAAGACAACGACCGAGTGAGAGAGAGAGAGAGAGAGAGAGAAAGGGAGCGCGCGAGAGAGAAAGTGGTGAGATAGAGGGCGAGAAAGCGAG